GCATCCCTTAACATAAAAAATGGGAAAATATAAATCCTTACAAAGAAAATGCGTACCGCAGGCCTCTACATGATCTATAAACATTTGTGTTCCAGTTGATTTGTCAGGGTTTCTTCAGCAATATCAATATGGGCTTTCGTACCACGAGACTGGTGTTAGGCAAGGTTGCTTAATCTCACCCTTTCTCTTTCTCCTGGTGATCGACTGGATCATGAAGACATCAACATCTGAAGGGAAGCACGGGATACAGTGGATAGCTAGGATGCAATTGGATGATCTAGACTTCGCAGATGATCTTGCTCTTCTATCGCATACACAACAACAAATGCAGGAGAAGACAACCAGTGTAGCTGCAGCCTCAGCAGCAATAGGTCTCAATATACACAAAGGGAAAAGCAAGATTCTTCGATACAACACAACATGTACCAATCCAATCACAATTGACGGAGAAGCTTTGGAAGATGTAAAAACCTTTACATATTTGGGCAGTATCATCGATGAACACGGTGGATCTGATGCAGATGTGAAGGCACGGATTGGCAAAGCAAGAGCAGCATATCTACAACTGAAGAATATCTGGAACTCAAAACAATTAGCAACCAACACCAAAGTCAGAATTTTCAATACAAATGTCAAGACAGTCCTACTGTATGGGGCGGAAACCTGGAGAACTACGAAATCCATCGTCCAAAAGATACAGGTGTTTATTAACAGTTGTCTACGCAAAATACTTCAGATCCGCTGGCCGGACACTATAAGCAACAACCTACTGTGGGAGAGAACAAATCAGATCCCAGTGGAGGAAGAAATCAGGAAGAAACGCTGGAAGTGGATAGGACACACATTGAGGAAAGCACCGAACTGCGTCACAAGACAAGCCCTCATATGGAATCCTCAAGGTCGAAGGAGGAGAGGAAGACCAAAGAATACATTACGCCGGGAAATGGAGATAGATATGAGGAAAATGAACAAGAATTGGATGGAACTAGAAAAGAAGGCCCAGGACAGAGTGGGTTGGAGAATGCTGGTCGGCGGCCTATGCTCCATTGGGAGTAACAGGCGTAAGTAAGTAAGTAAGTAAGTTTCGTACCACGACATTATCGTAAATTTTGAAACAAGACAGTCATATTAGTTACTTTGTCTTCTAAAACATTATATAAGCTGAGATGATCACATACTTTATTGTTATTTTTTCTAGAGGCAGAAAATATAGCTAACAAACTTTAGTCTCGTCTCTTCTCGCTTGTGTGAAGTTAGAATTTTCGAAGTGTGGTTGTGTGTTAATCGTAGATTTATCTAGTTATGATAGACCAAATGTTGTGTTAGGGGTATTTTCCTTGTCTCTATTTTGAACCCTAACGATTACAATTGGCAACAATATGTCTGTCCTCTACTGCAGTGTAAGGTAGATTCGATGGCACCGGATTGAGCTGACAAAATAACTCAAACAAATTAGTATCCAAATTGAAATTAATCGATAGAAATTGATCAGCACTAAGGACTAGAAGAATATCTAATTGATTATTATTGAATGGTAAATATTTCAGCCCTAAAGAAATGCAGTAGTTTCGGTCCGAATAGCTCAGTAATTAAGTCTCTATGACACTGCGATACTAGCTCAAAATATACAGAGAGCATTAGTTCAGTCAACATTGAAGATGCGGCTTGATGATGATTATCGACTAGCATGAAAACTAGACCTACAACTTACTGTCAGTTGATTCAAACCCCAACTAACACAAGCAATTATAGTTTAACCAATCGGACTGCACATTCATATGCATTAATACACTATATATTAATACTTCATGGTAAAAAAAAAGAATTTAAGAGTGAAATTAACTTCTATGAATATACTTAAAGCAATGGGTAGCCCGGTTTCGTCGTTTTTTGAAACCTTAACCATAGGTAAATGCATACAGCAGAATTATGACATGGCGTGTGTGTGTGTGTGTGTGTATGACAGCAAGTTTTTATACAAATTAATACCTCCGAACCATTAAAACGGTTGCTTAATTGACTAGCAAAAATATCAAATGCAGTTTACAATCAGAAGTACGATTTATTTTATTTATTTGAACACATAGATATTGGTACACTGAGGCACCAAATATATATGCGCCACACAAAATTTTATTTGTGCGTGGGCTGTGATACTGCCTGAAAGCCCAGTACGAAGCAAGTGGTTTTCTTAGGGGGCCACACCCGGAGCCTTTGACCTAAAGATCTGATCCACAAGGCAGTGGAGCATCGTAAGGAGATGCAGTCCCATGGTAGCCGGTGACCAACTGTTGTGAGGCAGAACACTGATGAGGACAACCGAATTGTATTTAGCTCAAATTACAGAGTTAATTGGTAAAATAGAAAAACTATATATTAAATCGTTAATTTGCAAAATAACAATCCTTCATATTAAACTGAACTGTTCCTGTTTCAAATATCAATCCATTGACTGACATTTCATTGTTCATGATTTTTCCTACAAATTCCATAGTGTCGCCGCTCTTCCTCTCTTGATTTTTCCCCATCTTCTGCAGCCAGCCATTACGTTTGAAACTCGCGTTATATACTACTTATTATATCAATATAAGTAGCGCGCACCACACTCCTCCCCCCTTTTAATAAGCTGTCGTCGTAGTCTTTCTGATCGCCGTACGCCTGTCTTCTTTGGTGTTTTTCGTGACTCACACACTTGACGATCTTGAAACCATCTCTGCAATTGACTAGCATTTACGCACTTCTGCTTATCTTCTCTCCGGATTGTGTAAACCGCGCCGCGTCTCGCCGTGATAACGTACGGTCCTTCCCACTTTGGGATCAGCTTTCCCGACCTTGATCCCCCTGTCATGCTACTTCTCCGTTCTCTACACTTTACTAGGTCCCCCACTGCAAAAGGTTTCCACGTTCTCCTCTGTTGTTCCGCCTTCTTTATGTCTGATATTTGCTTCTTTTCCACGTTCCTGATTGCCTCCCTCCTCTCTTTTCTTAACCTTGTTGTCGTCCATTTCTGTTGTTGTGGCCAGGTCTTGTTGTGCATTGGAAGTCGTGGTTGTCTGCCATACATGAGCAAAAAAGGTGATTTCTTGGTTGTTCCTTGTGTGGAGGAACGATGCGCCAGCAAAATTAATGGTAACTCTTTCTCCCAATCTCCTCCTTTAGATGCTAACCATTCCTTTAATGTCCGGTTGTTTCTCTCTGTAAGCCCGTTTGTCTGAGGATGATACGGTGTAGTTCGTATCCTCTTGATGCCAAATTGCTTTAGACGAGCTTTAAACTCATCACTTTCAAAACAGGGACCCTGGTCAGTTAATATCATCTTCGGTATTCCGTGACACGCTACAATATGCCGGATTACCACTTCGGTCACTGTTCTTGCCCGCTGGTCTGCAATGGGTACGGCATCTACCCAACGTGTAGCATGCTCCGTCATCACTAGCAGGTACTGATTACCGCTCGCCGTCTGTGGGAACGGTCCCATCACATCCACCGACCATAGATCACCGACTGCGGTTACTGGGATTGACTGTAATGGTGGTTGTGTGTATCGATCGCTTTTCATTAGTTGACACTGCTGGCAAGTTAACACGTATTGAGCCACATCGTCTCTCATGCCCGGCCAGTATGCACTTTGTCGTAGTAAGTCCGTCGTTCTTGCGATGCCTGTATATGCTACCTGGTGACACTCGTGTATCATCTTACGCCGCCAGTCTTTCGGAATTACAGCCACCCAATTCTTGTCATCGTCCTGCCAGGTCAGGACTCCATATGCGTTCAATCTCAGTCGTTGAATGATTTCAAAGTTACGGATAGGAATTGTAAACTTGGTTAATGAATATAGAATTTAAGAAGTATAAAAATAGATCAATAGAGAAAGTTGTTTTAGCGAAGATTTCATTTTTTTAAGCTGTACAATTATATTCATAATTAGTTTATTCACTTAGTAGTTTACAGTAAAATATAAGTGTGTTATGTAATTTTAAACAATTATTATGGTATGTTGTTATTTCTAAAATGAGTTTTCTTTAAAATGCTAAAACAGTGATTTTATGGAGTCTGCTTATTACATGAAACATTTATACAATCGATTGTCCTTACACATTAATTACTTGAATAAATTGTACTTTAAACAAGATGGAGAGGAATCAATATTAGGTACATTGTCTACAGAATTATCAAAATATTTATTGTATACTAATCTAGTGTGTAATTTTTGGCAAAACCAGTTTACCAAATTCAATAAAACTCCATAAATAAATACACTATTTTTGTCATAAATTCATTTAAAAAATGATTGAAACAAAATAATTAGTTTTGAATTAAATTATTCTATGACATACTTTGATGTAAAAAATTATGTAACACTCCGTTACTTTTAGAAGATTCATATTTACAACGATGAGACATTTAAAACCAACTAAATTTATTATAGAATACTGTGGAGGTTTGTAAGTTTAAAGATCCACTGAAGTTAGAAATCTAAACCATTGGATGCCAACCTAGAGATTTGGAGATCAGTCACTTTTTGCAAAGTTTGAAGGTCATAGGGTAATGAATGGGTACTGATGAGAAGTGGTATAATAAGATGAAACAGTTGTCTGGCGCTTCCTGGCTTTTAATGATTGTTTAATCATGATGTGGAAATTAAGAATTCATCGAAGTCATGACAAAATTTGACACAATCATTTTGAGAGAACTGACTTATTAAATCATGTGACTAGATTAGTAATAAATTATATATATATATATATATATATATATATATATATATATTGAGTAGCTTGAAAAAAAGTGGTTAGTTATTGAATTTGGGAAAATTGAAATAGTTAATAAATTAAACTTGGAATCAATCATTAAACCTTTAGGGAATAAATATGTACACAGTAACAAGAGTTATGGGAAACAGCAAAACAGTTTATAAGTATTTCTAAAATATCCGTGGTAATTAACAAATTGAATACAGAAAAATATCACTAAGATATCTTGGTTTCACAACAACTTACAGTACAAAATTTGCGTAAATCATCCAATGAAACATATCCTTTAGTGCCATGATCAAGTTTACGGAAACTTTGTAAAAGACTACTAATTTCATCAATAGTCAAATCCATACGAACACCTTCCATAACACGCAGACCAAGACCCATTTCAGATTTTAAAAAGTTCTATACAAAGAAAAACACAGATGTAACAAGCGTGTAAAAATGCTTTAAAAACATGTGCTATAAGTTACAAAAATCAATAGGAATCTAGACACACTTGAAATAAATACTGACGAGAAATTGTTCACGATGTATGACGTAATATATATAAACCCAAGGTGAGGCATTGTATGTGTTAAATCTATAAAAAAATTTCTGTACAACTATTGATCATAAATAAAATGTAAAATAAATGACGTTTTCCAGATATAATTAAGAAAGGTAAGAAGTTTGTAGAAGTCATCTAATTTATAAATATTTTTCATGATGGACTAACTTCAGCTTTTAGACCACTAGAAGCAAAGATACATTGAACTGTTTTATCTTTAAATTAAGGCTTCGTAGACGTACAAACCCATAACCTCAGAAGGGAGTGAATAGAAAACATTGAGGTTTTGTAGATTGTATGTTAATTTTAAACCAATGAATTCAGGATACAGTGATTTCTATTTTTAACTTGAATTATTCCATTCCATCAATCATACGTACCATACTAGTAACATGTTTGAACTCCACTGGTCGTATGCATGCACTAAAAATTTCGAAATTTTTTTCGAAGGTATTCACCACTGAGCACAAGATCATTATTGAGATAAAAGGTTTGTGAAGACCCTTCAATTTGGACATCGTTCTAATTACTGATTGACAGACTGCTAATAAGTTCGATCCTTGATGAGTGTACACTAATGCACAGCATCAATATAGGAAAAAAGAACTATCTTATTTTCTTTGAGTATTAATTATTCTTCAAATAGAGTTAGTCCGCAACAAATAATATCTTTAAGTTAGAATTCAATCGAAATTATCACCAACAACACAGTCATGAAGAAAATCATCATACAACAGCTTTTCTGTAGTAAGGAAAAACATATGAGATAATAATAATTTTTTTTGTTTTCATCTAAGTACAAGTATTTATAAACAATTGTCTATACAAAATACTCAATGTCTGTTGGCCGGATACCATCAGCAACAACCTACTGTGTGAGAGGACAAACCAGCTTCCATTTGAAGAGGAAATTAGGAAATGACGTTGGAGATGGATAAAACGTACATTTCGAAAATCATCAAACAGCATCACGAGACAAGCCCTATCTTGGAATCGTAAACGAAAACGGAAGAAAGAATGATCAAAGAACACTGCTCCGAGAATTGGAAGCAGATATGAAAAGGATGAATAGCAACTGGAAAGAACTGAGAAAGATTTCCAAGGACAGAGTTGGATGGAGAATGTTGGTGAGTGGCCTATGCTCCTTCATGAGGGGTAACAAACGTCAGTAAGTAAGTAAGTAAGTATGCAAAAACCAAATAAGATGTGACATACCTTTGTACCACTCTGGTGGAAACGAGGTTTTCGCTTAGTATGTAGTTGTCAGATGACTATAGAGTATGTCCATAACAAACAACACAAATAGTTATATGATTGTTCTTGAATCATTATCAAGTGACTGGTTGGATTCATTCTTACTACTGATTGCAAGTTACCTAAAACAACGAAATTTACACGGTTCTACGCTGTGAAATTTATGATGTCTACAAACCAACGTTCAATAAAAACAACAGGTGAAATTTACCATTACAACCGCACGATGGTTTGAATCATGACACATAAAATTATTCAAACAAATCATAAGACTATGAGGTACATGAAATTATAAATGGTAGGTATTAAGTGAGGGGAAAATTTGATACAACTGGGAATAACGGATTTATAATTAATTAGATTATATTTCTTAAAAAAACTAGTATATGTTATGATGACTATTGATCAAAAGAAGGTTTATAGTTAGATTTACATATGAATACCGTAAAATATATTAGAAATACAAAAATCGTTCAGTTACAAACAACTAAACAAATTCTGAACATTTCGGTTTCTCAATCCTTTCTATTAGATAAATATCATAATTATTTTTAGCGACCAACCACCCAACATCGTAATTCTAAATATCTGCTACTCAAAATTAATAATAACAGCTTGAAATCACTTAATTAACAAATCTTAGTATTGATAATTTGAATATTCCAAAACAACCGATAAACATAAATTAAACCTCACCCCAGTGCACAAGATCGTGGTTATCTGAACTTTAGCTGGGTGGATAACCTTGTTGTGTTTAAAGCGAACGGTACTGGATTCGAGTGTTTGAGCGAACAGTGACTCTGAGAAGCATGAAACGCAAGTCCTAAACTCCAGTGTTAACTACAACCCATCTCTGTTTATGAATTTTAATACTGTTTCTTAAGTAAAATTATACATTTATATGAAAATCATCAATCACTAAGTGTGACATATGCAAAGGTTCCTTCGCAAAAACGTCTGTAATCAACTAATAATGTGTAAAAACAAAACAGAATTAGATGCAGAAAAACTATAAGCTGTTTGAGCTTGCCGAAAATATGTTCATTAAGGTATTTCTTTATAATACCCAAAAAAATCTAGGTCTCGGTATATTCCGTATGTGAATAGGATACGTCACACATAGCAAATATCCTCAAAGTGAATCACAAAGCAAGTCATAAATTGGAATCCTCAAGGCAAAAAAAGAGGCAAATCAGAGAATACATCGCACCATGAGTTGAAAACAGATATCAAAAGAATGAATAACGCTCGGTGAAAACTGGAAAGGAGAGCCAAAGACAAAGTAGGCTGAAGATTGTTGGTCGGCGGCTTATACTCCACGACGAGTAACAGACACAAATAAGTCACAAGTTCAAACTCAATGTAGATTCAACAGACCGAGTATCGTTTGCTATGAACAAAATGTATATGCAGTTTCATTATCAGTAATACGGTGGAAAAAAATAAATAAAGCAAATATATTACACAAATATCTTATTATCAAAATTATAGTTTACCTCTGCCTCTTGCATTTCTTGCTTTTTTCTTTCACTGTTCCATTTCAAATGCTCACCCATTAAATCGACAATTCTTGGTAAAGCTTCCTCCGCAGCTCGTACATTCAAAAATGCTAAACGAGTACGACGCGCAAGAAAATCGACAACATGACAAGCATATTCTCGGCATGCATATTCCACCTAGAAAAACATTAAACAGAAGGGTTTTTTTAAAAAAAAAGAGTAAATTTAATGTATGATATTGTGAACAATGAGTGACGTAATCTAGTAGAGTGTGAATAACACATCACATTGATTTTTCTTCTCAATCATCTGTAAAATGTAATCACATTGTGGAAAGGAATAAATACTACATAGTCAAGTCTATTAGTTATATCTGTTGGTTATAGACGCATAATTGTATGATATTTTAAGTATGGGTTTAAGAAATAAATCATGTAAGGCTCTACAGTTAAAAGACCATAATTACTGTGCTATTTTATAATGACCAAAATAAGGTATGCATTAGTGATTTCGACAATGGTGAACTTCTGCATCTGTTACGACATAAATACTTCGAAATTGTGTTATTTTTCAATTAGTAGGGTCATTTAACAGAGGTCAGAATGATTCGTAATAAAGTGTTAAGTTATAATCAATATAACAGCAATACAATAAGTCGCGTGAACAAAATGTATAGTAGGAGAATTTCATCTTGTTAATCGAGGTAATAATAACAACATCGTGTGAATATAATATGCAATGAGAGTTGTTGTCAGGTTAATTGCGATAAAAAAGAATTCGTGCGACTTGCGAAAAGTGAACGTGCAGGTTAAGAAAGATAGAAGCACATAGGGAATGAGGAGAGGGAATAACAGATTTATAACATCCAGTCTATGTATCTGGTGATTCAGTCGTGGATCAAGGTAAACATAAAGGCTGAATATACCTCTTCTGGATAAGTTAGGTTTTCTGGAGTTGATTCAGATGGTTTTGGCTATGTAGATTGTTTAAAACTCGACGCAAAAAAGAGAAAGCTTCATGTATTTTTATATGTTGTTCACTATTTACCAAGTGAGAAAGAACAGCGTTGCTAAAAGATTCAATGGCTCCTTTTCCCAACCATGCTGTTACATGCTCATGAGCACGAAAGGATAAAGTCATCTGAGCATGGCCTAGGTAACCAGCTCTATAGGAGTAATTGAATTGGTATACATATATAGAGGAGCCCATCATCGGTAAACTATACTTGGTTTGTTGCATAAGTATTGGTTTGGTTGAGAACGCATGTAACTTAGCGGCATGAAATGTCTTTTCAACAGATCTTTTGAGTTGACGTGTTGAAATGTCACTTGCTATGTTTCCTTTTAAATAGAGTTTTAGATAGAGGGTTCTCTCGCTGATTTTATTAGTTTGTTATTTTTTACCTTCTAATAAAAATCTTATGACGGCCAATATGTCGTAGTGTGTTCTTTAGTTTATCTATTTCGCTATCTGCTTTATCCTCAGAACATAACAGTTTGATTCTGTGACTAAAACATTTAACTAGATTTATTTTGTATTGAAGAGGTTTAACACTATGCAAATAAGTATGCTGACCCGTTCACGTATTCTACCTAAATACAATTCTGTGTTCCTAAAAAGTAAGACATCAAGAAAAGCTATTCTATTATCGTTCTTTTCTTCGCTAGTGAATTTAATAGCCGAGTGAACGTGATCGAAACTGTTCAAAACCTCTTGTCTATCGTTAGTTTCGTCACACACACAAGAAATGTTGGAAAGGTTAAGGTATTTCGAAACAAGAAATTTAATGACAGTATGCATATTTATTGGTTTGACATTCTATAACATGTTCCCAAACTACTAGCAAACTATACAGTATAACATGCCTACGTAGAAAAAGTGAAGCCAGTTTCACAAACAGTAATAGCACTATTCATTTTATTATACAAATTATCAATTTTATGACGAAATAAACTTACTTCAGCTTCAATAAAGGGAAATTCAGGATGTAATTTTTTACCTAATATTGGCCATCTTAAACCAGTTAGTTTGGACATATTAGCTATAGTGATAGCTTTATCACCATAAATTCCAGTTAAATGGCGTGCCACATCAACATCCATACCATATTCTTGAACAATTTGTATAAATAGATTTGGTGACCAACCATGAGCACCCTCTAAAAGAAGACCTTTGGTACGACATGGACCAGTTGGTTTAAGATCACATACCTAGTTAATTAATAAAATAGAATAAAATAATTCCCGATTAATTTCTGTATATTTCTCTTGCAGTAACAAAACGAAAATATTAAAATAGTTATTAATTCTAATGACAACCAGCTATTAAGGGTATAAAGTGTACAAATGTATGACTGTTTTTATCAAACAACGATAACTTAGCCGTTAAATGATTTGACTATTGAGTATCATATCACATTTCACCTAACTCAGTTTAAATAACTACATAGTATTACTTAACCTTACAAAAACAGTGCAGCTTGAAGTTAAACGCATAAACAAGTACTCATTAACTGATTCACTGTTAATAAAATAGCGAATTTTATTAGTGAACTATTTAAATAAAGACACAACTTGTTTACTACCTTTATCGCTTTATCTACAGTTTCTTCTGCCATACTTCTGTAAGTTGTCCATTTACCACCAGCAATTGTTATCAACTTAGATGGCGAAACATCAATAATATGATTACGTGCAATCGATTGTGTATCAGAAGAATTTGGGTCACGAACAAGTGGTCGAATACCTGCCCAAGATGACAGTACATCACCACGGCGAACTATTAACAAAGAAATAAATAGCAAAAATGAATGCAACGAAAAACGTGAGTAACATTTTGACTAAAACATTAGTTATGACAATGTAATATTAATTAAGCAAAACTATGTTTATTCAAGTGTACTGTATAGATGTAGACAAGATTCAGAATATCTTGTCAACCAATTATGAAGATTTCATTTTAAAAATGAATTATTAATCAAATAGCAGGCAAAAAAGAATATACAAATAATCAAGTTATTTAGGAATAGAGAAAATCCCTGAAGATATTACAAGATATTAATTTAATATATAAGCGTAATGGTTAAATAAGACACAGGTGTATGTCAGAATGCGTACAGTCAAAGAAAAGTATAAAGCTAAACAATATCATATTTAGTTTATACACTATTGATCAAGTTGAAAAGGATGACTGGATCACAAATATTTATACTCCTTGAACCTGGAGCATATACAGCGTTGTAAAGAGGAACTCTTTAAAATATTGTACGCTGATAATTCTATATTGTAGTATTGAAAAAACGATTATTATTATTATTATTACCATTACTATAATTATTATTATTGAAACAAATGAATGCCGTTTTTTAAATGACTGAATTATAGCTGGTAACTTGATGGAAATATTTAATTACAATATGATATGAACACTTTCTGATAACTACAAAGCCTAAAACTAAATACATAAAATTATTATAAAAAAAAGAAATTGATTGAAAAGTATGTATACAAACAGTAATAGTACATCCACTGATAATACTTAGACATAACCATTGTTAAGAGATATGCTGAAAGCTACTTACAGATATTAAAATAAGTTCACATATCTTGAGCACAAGATTTTGTCTGGGAAGATAACGAAAAGTTCATAACTTAAATTCACGCTAAGAAAATACAAAAATGATGAAATTAGCTAGGTCTTTATGTGGTATAAGATTAAGGATATAATCCGGTAACTTGACATATTGTCCAAAATCTAGATATCTAATTGTATGTGCTACTTATTTAACCCTTTTCCATGACTGAGTTACTTAAGTAAATTAACTGGCCACTATTATAGCAACCAATATACAGTAGTCTAATTATAATTCCTTATCAAATTCTACATATTAAGATGGATTCTGACCCTTACTGACTCAGAATACCGATGTACGTAGTTTGATATGAAGCCAGCAATCTACGTTTTGTACTAGTTAGTGCAACCTACGAAAATATATCTTCAATTCTAAAGAAACTGATATATAACGTTTATAGTTCCTTTTATTGACTTCATAAGAACAGGAACAACCAGTTGAAGCGATTATTCAACTGTTTATAACCTGTATGTTTCAAAATCAAGACTTTGAATGAAGTTTAACGTACTTATAGAAGTGCAAATGATTAGGTTAGGTGCAAAAAACATATCGGCTTACTGTAGCAAACATTCACATAAAAATGGTTAAATGGTTAAATAAGATGTTTTAATTATCCATGAAATGTAAAAGAAGGTTACTAGGACATTGATTAAGGTAGTACCAAAATATTGCACGGCCGAAACTAAGTGACTGTGTACGAAAGCAATGAAATATATGTTAACGACATCTGAGTGATGCAAATCAAGATTATGAACTAGAAAAATTGATATGATAAAATCAAATGATCGATATAATTATTAAAGATTTAAAATTAAGTTGTTTAATTCATTAGGTACTTGAATATGAATCGCACTCTTAGTTTGACGGCTAGTGATACTATACAGTTGCCCAAACTACAACAGATGGAGTAGAGTTCGAACAAGAGATTTAATGGCTGAAAGTTCGACACCTTAACCACTAAAACACTGTTCAATATAATAAAAAACAGATATTCCCTGTGAGATTCTGAACCGCATTAATAAGTTTCACAATCCCAGGTGGTACCGTGGTGCATACTTCATATTTTTTTCGAATATAAGTAATATGTAACACCAGTCGGAAATAGAATGTCTGCAAGAAAAGGTTGAGAATACTGAAATGAAGAGAAAAGAGAAGGGAACTAAAGTCGATTAAGATAAAAACAGGAATGAAGGAACAATGAAGCTTGTAAGAGACAGTTCAAAGAAAATGTGCAAATGATGTATTTGATGTATGACTTCCACATTTTACTAAACCACTGTGTCATTATGCGTTGGACAATAAATTGTTGCTCTCCACTTGAGTGTTTACTCTCTACAGTACTACTGAGTTATTCGGGCTGCATAATTCTCTACGGTATCGACTGTCTTAAAAATATGTGTACTAAAGTCACTTAAAAATGAGAATTTAAAAATTAACCTAATATATGTAACCACAGATTTACACAAGTGTAAAGTGATAAAAAAAACTAAAGGTTACTATATGAGCACTTGATGAACCATTCTCACAAAGAAAAACCAAAACTAAACACCTACCTTGGATTTCCGGAGAAAGATAACTACTAATTTCTTCCAAGATAAAGTTCACTTCAGCTTCGGAAGGCGAAGGTTGATCAGTAACATTGCATTCAGTATCTGTAGTGCCAGCTAATGAATAATTCATCCATGGTAAAAAGAAGATCACACGACCATCACGCGTATCTGGATCTAGTAAACCCATTTTAGTAGGGCTAAAAATACAATCAGAAATAAGATAAGATAGAACTTTTTTGAATAATGTTTAATAATAATGAATTGGTCAAATGCGAGTTCATTTGTTACTATGCGAATACTCCAAAATTGATTCATATTCCAAAACTTTTAAGCTAATAATAACCGTACAATGTATTCATGAGCTTTCACATGATGCTAACTACTGAGAAAAATATAAGCGAAAACCATACATTGATTGCTATATTGGAAGCGAGTACGTTGAAATTCATGCATCAAATATATAATGTATTGGAAAATACTGTGTGGGGTAAAACTCGACGAAAAACCTTGGAACTGATGACGAATGGCTAAAATTACTGAAAAATTTATTTTATAATATTTATGAAATATTTACAATTTCAATACATTTGAAAAAAGTTTATCACAATAAAGTGATTTGTGTGTTAAGGATTTCTAACTTTGACTAAGCACAAGTCATTAGAAAAAATAAGCGACTTTACCTAGAATCAAACCTACGATGCCTTTCCGAATAACAAATATGTAAGAAGATCACGAATAGATTTAATGAACCGATGGCTTAGTGGCTAAAACATCTGACTTTCAGTCACTACGTCCCTAGTTCGAATCCTATTCCACTCACCTTAGTTTGAGAAACTGAGTAGTATCGCTAACACTCATACTTAGAGTGTGCTTCAAATCCAAGTACCTGATGAATGTGTTTACTTCATTCCCAACAATTTTTATATCATGAATATTAGTAAACTGATCAAATTTTAATCAGATAACACTTTTGAACATATTATTCTACTATGTAATATAAAGTAATTTGTAATCGGAACAAAGAATAGACGAATAAGATTAGTAATGTATGCCTAAAGCATAACTTTTAACTTGTGAAAACATTTATTAGTTTACGAGTGACAAATCCAAAACTTTATACCTGTGCAGAATTGTTTAATTCTTAAATTTACAAAGGGTTTTGTTAATAGTTACGTCTATATTATTGCCACTAAGTTATGAAAAAGTCAATTTATCATGAACATTTCGTTTGACAATAAAAAAATAATAATAACTGGATAATTTCAATGATTCCTCTACTGTATTTTCTGTAAAATTAATTCACTATAAACTAAAAAAGAAGTAAAATCTTACAGAGATATTTGTTCTATCAACATCTCCACCTTGTTACGTCAAATCACGTTCATAATGTTTATAAAACCGCTTAGAACACACACACAGATACATATAACAGATATCACTATGTATATGATGTATCTATTCTATTTTGAATAATAAGATAATGATATTTTTAACTAAAAAATTGAATAACTTGAACAAATCCAAATTAATAGAATAAACAAATGTATTGTCAATTATAATTAATTAGTGAACATTGATCTTATGTATGTTTCTATAACAGTTTAATATAATTTGACGAAATAAACGTGGATAAAAAAATTTTTTTAAAATCCATACACATTATCATCAATGTAATGACCTTCTACTAACTATGAACCTGGGTTTTATTTTTTAAAACTCTGTTATATGTTAAGAATTGCTAAAGTTATTCTAAATATATGACCCTAAAATAAGTATTATATGTTATTTAACAAATTCATTTAAAATAGATTCTAAAGTGATACGTTGCAAGTTATCACGATCTTGGCGACCAAAAGGTTTAAATAGAAAGAAAGACGAAGTGTTATTGATTTAAAGTGAAATGAACAACGTTTTAATTGAAGTAAGAAAGGAAACATAAGGTTATCTATTAAATAAAAAAAGATTGTAAGATTTGATTCACATACCTTATAAAATATTATGAGAATATTTTAATAAAATGTGAATTGTGGCTAGTGCTAGAGTTAAAAATGTCGTTTTTACCTGGTTTGGAACTCGTCAGCTAGACATTCTTGTACTCCAGTGTTGTTGTTCACACCAGGACTCGAACACAAAAACATTTTGTTTTAAATATCAATAGGTTATTTACCGACCTATTCCAAAAACAACCTAGTGACAACGTGGTTATATCGTAGTACTCTGCACACGTTGCACATAGATTAATCGAAAATTCAGTCATGAATATTAATAACTGGATGATTGATACGCTTGTCAACAATGACATATCATATGAATTTGATCCAAATAATCCTTTTAGCACAAAATCTTACGACTTGAATCACCAAGTATCAGTTAGGGATGTCACTAACGATCTATTAAGGTTACACAGTAATCAATAAAGAACTCTGAAACGTCGAGTCACTTAAGATAATAACTAAACTAAAACTTGTTCGATAGGATCCGATTAGCACTTAGAATTAGACAATTGAACATTGGTCACAATTAATTGATTGATTAATGTGAATTTTATATATTTCTTAAACATATTTCTTTTCTAGGCGTGTTTTAGGCTGGTGAACATTATAACAAGTGAAATGAAGAAAAAAGTGAGTAACTAGACATGCTCACCAAACAAGCATCAATATTCAAAATGTCTTACTTGTCATGATATTGATTTGAAAAGAATTTTTGCACAAAATTCAATCAACTAAGTAGAAACCACGAAAAAATAATTTATGCCATATACTGTATTGAACTATGAAGTTATAAGCACTACATGAATGGGAACGCTTTAAATTTGATGAAACAGAGTAGAAAACCAAGCCACAGTGATATGGATGATAGTTCGTTCTGAAATCGATTACTTTTAACCGACGTTTAGTTTATATCATTATTAGAAAAGGTTCGAATTATCTTTTTATCGATAAGCTGGTAAACAGTTGGATCCAGTAACCTACTCAATGGAAAACGCGTTAGAGTTCAAAGCAAAAGGTAAAATATTAGAACCCTGATGTGAATATCAACACTGGGACGCAGATATATCCAGCTGACGAGTCATGATAAAAACGGAATGCACATTTCGGATTCCACTGCTAGCTACAATCCATCTATTCTATAGAAATATATTCAGTTGTTTGTAATATAAATCAAGTATTCATTCAACAGTAAGTCTTAACGAGAAAAATTCATACACAAAATTGAAGAATATTAGAAAAATGTTATTCTGTAGAACTGAGAGCTGTAGTGATTTTTCAGAGAAACTATAGTTTATGTACGGCCTCTGAGCAATGCTATAGTGACCTTGAGACATACTAGGGTCAAAAGAAGGTTAGTATGAGGAATTGAGATTAGAATTTAGCTGTAAATTAGGGTTAGGAACCAAAGAAAGAGGTTTATTACGAACTGAGTTCGTCAGTCACCAGTCATCTGCAACGTAGGACCAGACATATATATATATATATATATATATATATATATATATGCATCGCACCAAGTTGCCATACCTCATTAGCACAACAACATCAACACCAAATTCATAGAAATAGGTACTTCATTAGTGGTTATATATTAAAGAAAGATTGCATATAAAGATATAATGCAGAGAAAAAAGGGGTTCGTAGAAAGAAAGGTATAAAGTAATTTTAATCTCACGGTTTAAGGGAAGACATAGAGTATATACACGTACGTCATTGTGGTCGACTCTGAGCCATGTCATCCAGAGTCTTCAACCATTGGTTAAGATAGTCCCGCGGACCCCAACCAAGTAGTCTGCATCTACTAACATGGCACAGACTAAAAGTTAGTGATTTCAAGGACTGATGCCACGTTTTGTTTTGGTCGCCCCTAACTTTCTTCCAACAGTCTCCAACACTAGTCAATATTGCGCGTTGTGGTAAACGGTGTTCAGACATACGTAACACGTAAAACGTGACCCAAGCAATTACGAACTGATATCAGCTATAATGCCGAAATGCAATTTTAACTGTACGAATTAATAAATTTCGCACAGAAATTAAAGACTTGTTACCCTTAATTTCATTAGTTCGTTCAGAAATTATACTCTCATCGATTTTCCTACTGAACTTATTAAAATGTTATCCTATCAATATAGCTGACGATAGCATTTTCCATGTTAGAAGTTGCTAATAATTTGTCGTAAAAAAAATCTTTACTACGTTATACAAAATTTACTTGACTCTAGAAAAGTGGTATTTTTTGCATGAAGAAGCTAGGGACTGAGAAGTTACAAATTGAGTGTTCCAGCTCATAAGTCTTTGAATTTAATTATTGAATTAATAAAAGTAATAAAATTGCCTATTAATATTGATAACACGATACTACTAGTAATAAAAGTACGATAATTTCAAAGGAGAAAAACAATGCAATTAGCTGATAGGACGAAATTCTGTGTATAAAGGACAATAATTATTTCAACCAATGAATTTTATAGTCATATGATCCAATGTCATTCGAGACATATGATATAAATTCTGGTTCAATAAATGCTAGATATTTACTTTTCCCTCAACATACATCTACCTACTATTCTGAAAGTGTTATTTATCAGAACTAAAGTTATCGACGTTATACACATGATGCATGATAGTGATTGATCATATGACATTCAATGGTAAGAGTGTAATTTTAGAAAATTAAATATATTGCGAAAAAAGTGGATAGCACAAATGATCATTGGAAATTAGTTGGACGAGAAAAATTTAAAATAATCGTTGAAATGATTCATTTCTCTTTTTAAAAAATGATTGAAAGTACAGTGTATAGATGTTCACGAATTACTTTGCAACCAACAAGAAAACAGTATTTCAACCGGGTCAGTTGTGAGATAGTAACTCAGTGATGACAATGGTGGATGTGTCGCTCAATTTCGTGGATTAGTTGAAGTTAGACATTAACACCGTTGGATGCCGGCTCGGCGGTCTGGTTGATTAAGCGCCTGGTGCGAGACTGGCGGGTCCCGGGTTCGAATCCCATGAGGCGGGGTCGTGGATGCGCACTGCTGGGGAGTCCCACGAAGGAACGAAACGGCCGTCCAGTGCATCCATGTTTTTCATGGTAGTCTATCTTCAAATGACTCATGATCTCAACTGTTGAAATTATTACAATCTCCACGAAACCCCTTCTGATACAAAACAGTATTTGGTTAAGAAATAGTTTATGGTTAGAGAAAGCAATACGATTATAACCAATACGCAGTGTTCATATGAAAACCGAAAGTTTATAAATGAATTACTAAGGTTTTCATCTCAGTATGTATGTTTTATTCTCCAGTTGCAGTCATTTTGAAATGTGAATACAAAATATATTATTAAAATTTTCACCCTCTTGTTTCTCCATCTTATTAATTCCTTCTTGCTGCAATGATCAGAGATGTCGTAACTTGAATCAATGCACAGTTGTTCCAAGTCGTAGACTGACTAGTCGCTCATACACGCAACAATGGGAAAAGTAAACCACATCAAATGGAGAGTAGTAATACTAACTTCTGGTTAAATTAAAAATCTCACTATAAATCCTACTTACACAGAATACATTTCACCTAATAAATTAAAAAATATAAAATAATAATGAACCTATTTAATTTTACATTTAAGTTTCCTATTAGACTGAAATGATTCAAATAACTCTAATACTTCAATAAGTTTCGAACGTCACTTCAAACAAACCAAAGATCGATTTCGGTTTTTATTATTTATGTATAGAAAGCTGCAATGAATTAATAATATCTAAAGATCTATATGGAATTTTTCAACTGTTTGGGAAACTTTAAAATCATAAATCAAAAACAGTACTTACAAACTTAACAGATCAATTCAAATAATCTCAAACCCGAAGAAAACTTTCGTACCAAGGAAATGAATCGTTACATACAGTAATAAAAAGTAGAGATTATATTAAACATTTCTAACATTAAAAACAAAAGAGAGATTAAATAAATAATTAGCAAGTTAAAAATAATCGTGAAAACTATGTGAGACTCCTGTGATTTACTGTTCGTTTCATCAAAGTAAACAATATGGGATGTGTAATTTATAATAAAGAATATGGGCATTTCTTAAGTTGGGCATGAACAGGCATATGTCACAACACTAGCATAATAACAAATACGTAAGAAAACACTACCAATCAGTTATTATCAGAGACTGATATTTTCTGTAATAGCATGAAGCATCAAAATAAATTATTACGAATATTATTGTCATAAGTATTATTATTAGCAAAGATGGATGATGGCTAGCACTGGAATTCAGGACGCGCGTCTCATCCTTTTTGGGACTCGTCAGTTGAATGTACCTACATCCCAGAGTTGATGTCCACTCTAGGACTTGAACCCAATATCGTTCGCTTTAAACGTCATCACGTTATCCATTTATCTACTGAGTCCTAATAGCGATTAGCTTGTGCAATGTGGTCGCAAATAGGACGAAATGCGCGTCCTCGATTTCACTACTAGTCACCACCCTTCTTTGTTTACAATACATTTGACTAAGTCACTATCCAAGCAATCCGCACAGGATGCACATATTCCGATAAGAAACTGATCAATTTCAGTCCTAAACATCAATGGGAAGATTCAAACAAAGAATACAAAATGAATTATTATTATCATCCCAAAATAAAAATGTCATTACCTATAATAACCAGGAAGAATAATGTGAACACCTAAACTAGGTTGACAAATAGTAGGTTGTTCTTTATTATCCATTTGTCGTATACTATCTGTAAATGGACCAGTTGCATTAATCACACAACGAGCATTGATTGTGAATTCTTTACCAGTTAATCTATCTCGAACTCGTGCACCTGAAACTGTCGGTACTGGTTCAGATGTTTTCTCTAATGTAGATTTCAATGAAATTGATTTAGTTCGAGATGGTTGTTTAATTATTTCAATAGCTTCAACATAATTAGCAATCGCAGCATTATAACGAGCCGCAGTTAATGCAATACTTAAGCACATACGAGCATCCTCTTGTTGGCCTAGGTTAATGAGAAAAAGAAAAGTTTAGAAGAAAAAGAAAATCAGAAGCTGGATCTTGGAAAATAATTGTTATGAATGAGCAAAAAAGGAAACATGCAATTATTTAGATGGGTAGTTGAAAGAATGTTTATGTAATAATATGTTGGATCAAATAATTACCTTTCTCAACATAAACATACATTTTAAAATTGATCTAGTAAATGGATATAAATGAAAAAGTGATAACATTTTGAATCTACGATCCATAATCTTCGATTTATACTAGCTCCAGAGACCCTTGCTCAACAGATGAAAAATTTATTATTCACAACAACAAGTCAGCAGTTATTCACGGTTTCCAATGGGGTCAGAAGTTTGTTTTTCTTCACCTTAAAATGATAATATTAACTACGTATTTATGCTGAGGGGCATCATTTATTAAAGAAAGTATACAAAACAAAGATAATTTTGCCAATAATCGCATCCTTTAATATCGGAAATGTATTGAAGGTTTACTACATGAACTATTTATATACGCATATATATGGATACGTAGAGAAAAGAATAAAGAGTATATAATGTTTAGGTTAAATGATTGTAGGCACGAAATAAAATATGTGTGACAAATAGACATGAGATATTACCTTCTACGTCATAAACGGGGATTAATAGCTTTCCAAGAAATTAGTACATTAATAGAAGCACACGTGTTGATATGTTAACACTGATTAAAGTATTGACAAATTTAAAAAGACACATTACTTCAAATGAAGTAGATATTTGAAAACCCAGGTAATCTGGTAATTTTATATTCTATGTAATAAAGCAAACATGCCTCTTCAAAATAAAGGTAAGGACATTTCAGAAAATTCAAAGTAAAGAAAAACAATTAGCTGAAAGAATCAAAAATACAGTTAGCTTACTTTAAAAAAATCCAATAGAATAAAACATGAGTACGCTTGGTTAGCAACATCTAGTGAATGACGACTCCCTAAATGATAGTGTTCAGATAGGAACGAAGGCCAAAACTATTATTAAGGGCTTTACAGTTAACTCTCATAACTAAACAAGTAATTTCATAATTTACAACAAATTTTCTAACTGGTATTAAATAAATGAAAATAATCATTAAGGAGTCATAAAACCTCGATTTTGTATTCCTTGACAGGCGTAAGGAAGGACAGTCTGCAGTCCCAAGGGGAACAATTCTCTTTATAAGATAAAAACATGTAAGAGTTATTAGCGAGTTGCTCGACCCTTCTACCAACTCTCTTCAACCATCTAAGACTAAATAAAGTGCACTGTGATTTCATATAATTTAGAATAGTGATTATATTTCACCTTTATCAGCAGAATTAAAACATCAGTAATAACAAGATATATAACATCACTAAGTAATCAAATAATTTCTAGACATTTCAGTCATTGAGAATGTCTCTGATTATGACATTGGGCGAAGTAGGTTAGAGTTACATGATTTTGAATAAAAAGGAGTTCTGGTTATTTTCTTAACCCACCCAAGGTCAAACAGAAGGATATATCAAGTTTTCTGTCTGATGATTAAGACAAAGACTTTCAGTACATAATGATTATGAGAAACTAGGGGAAAGAAAAATAATACATTTTATTCAGCTAAAATTACTTTAATTGCGTTATCTAAACTGATTAAGAAAAACTGTTATTATGTAAAACAGAATGTGTTAAATTATTTTATCATCAGTATCAGTGCAATAATTTATTATTACTTATTAAAAAATAATAAAAACGAAAATATTGTAAATATATTTGACTAAGTTCTGATCAATAACCTGAGAAAAATTGCATCACTTAAAATATTATCCTTATAAATAGTGCAAATAATGACCCATATTTATTGAAATCATAAACAATCATGTACTTCTATTTTTTTATCAAGATATGTAATTAGAAATCACGATTAGTGGTATTCAGACAGGTAGGAATTGAAATAGGTTTCACTAAAAATACTGAGCGATCGCCGCGCTATGTTGCGAATTGGTTGGATTCGCCTAGGCGTTCTCCTACAGAAAGGAGGGTACTAAATTCCCTATCTGGCGTGGTTATAGTTCCACACTGTTGAGAAGTCCCAAAGTAGGACGAAACAGATGTCTATTGCCCCCGGTTTCCAATGGTAAACGAACTAAGATCAATCTGTAATGAATATAACTTAAATATTTGTAAATGTTGACTTAAAAATTAATTATCATTATTACAAGGTTTGACCAAATCTGTTTTGTTTTTCATAGAAAAATGCTTAAGATATACCCATTGTGCTCGGCCGATATTTATGTTACAGTTATTTTGATAATAGCGAGATTACTTAATTAGTAGTGAAGTATGTAGATGTACGAAAACTACTGAGTGGTAAAAACACACTGTTGTTTTCTTACCATAGAATATATGCAATATATCGACTACTTACAAGTACGATTTGAAGGGCATCTAAATCTAAACCGAATAATGTTAACACTGATCAAATAAATGATAGAATAAATGTATTAAAAACAATTAGCACTATGATAATAATTAACCAGATCAAGCTTTTGCAATTAAAAATGTCACAAAAAGAACAGCTTTTATTTACAATTAATTGGTCATTGAGTAGTGACTAATTTTATGTTTGTAGGTATCATTACCAAGATTTGATTTGATAATTTTGAATAAATTGAGCATTGGGTAGATTGTTATAAATAAATAATATATTTGTAATATCCCAATGAGTAGAAAAATTAGATTTTCTGACGTTTCGTGACTTGGAGTGAGTCACTTCTTCAGAGAATAAATAACAAAATTAAAACTAATCCAAGTTTAAATAGTACAATGGAACAATAAGAATAATATTATTCTTATCTAATTTCTCTACTCATTGCGATATTACAAATATATTATTTATTTATAATGTTATGTTTGTTAAGTACTTCTTAGTGCTGATTGGATTCCATCGGTCAAGTTCGAATGTGACCACTATTCAAAGTGGCTCAATATTGCGTGCAATACATTGTAAATACATCACAGTTGAGGCCCGAGTAGCTTAGTTCTAACGTCTCTAACTATGAAGTCGGATGACAGGGGATTGAATCCGTTAGACGTTAGTTCCTTTAGGGTTACAGGTACGTCTTACGGGTGCCAAACAGCAAGAAACCTAGGTTAAGGGTTTCCTGTGAATGGCTTTCAATCACCTAGCACAAAAATGCTTCTCGAGTCACGAACAGAAATAGTTAAGATGATTTTGCAGAATGTAAATTTGATAAAAATTTATCATGAACTGAAGTCTGCTAAAGGATTGTTTATAATCAAAGAGTACTAGAAAAACTATATCCGTCCTAGACTGGCATTATTATTATTACTAACTATTTGAACACATAAACATTGGTACAAGGGGGCACCAAATACATATGAACATAATATCAATGAGGTTGTGAAGAGATAGAAAATGTAAAGTGCGTATAATAAAAAGTACAACAACGAACAGAAATTAATGTATGAGAGTGAAATAATAATAATAATAATAATAATAATGGGAGACATTTCAGTTAGCAAAAATACAACCAGAAAGAATTCTTTCAGTTAAAAAAGTTACGCTCACTTTTATGAAATTAAAAGAAAGTTACAGCAGGATCGCGCACTGGTTTTGATTCTGAGAAGTGTCTGATAATGTCTCTACCCACTGTGATGCACCATATCTAGGATCTTAGTCAGAGAGTCGTGAAGGATCAACAAAAGCCAGCCCTGTACAGCTTTCTTTCATACCGACCACCTCTCCGCTTTTTCCAACCGGTCGCAGCGTCGGCATATAATGCGCGACCAATACGCATAATTATTTTTCAGGGTAATTAATCGCTTATATGTGTAAAATCTAAAATAAACTCTCAGCAAAGATTAGTTAAACTTAAACAGTTTCCACTAGAAATTGGTTTAAGCTAACCATGTCCATACTATAAAAAGTTGTCGAGATAGACTTTTCAAAATTCTACAATAAGAAACCGCGACTTTTTTAATCAACTGAATCAGGATTAAGAGAGTAAACTATCTTTTATTTGAAGGGGATCATGGAAATTGTCTTGAGAACAAGAATTGGATGGAACTAGAAAAGAAGGCTCAGGACAGAGTGGGTTGGAGAATGCTGGTCGGCGGCCTATGTTCCATTAGGAGTAACAGGAGTATGTAAGTGGAAATTGGCTTAATTTGCAAGTAACATCCATCACAGATTGATCTAGGATCGGGTACCATCAGAAATAAGAAATAATAGACAGTTGTTTCGTCCTAGTATACGTCTCCGTGTCAATGGGCATTCATAATCCCACCAGTGGATCTACTCTAAGAACCTCAAATCTAAGTGCAGATGCCTAACCACGAAAATCACTTGGTTTGCATCAAGTGGCACAGTTTCAAATTCAGTCAGTTTGTGATACAGATTGATGAATAACTAATGCTAACAGCATTTCACTTACCGTGATGCCCATTAGATCCTGATCTAAACTTTTTGCGTAGTCATGGGAGCTTACTGGCTAAAAGTAACAAACTAGGACGAAATTGTAATAAAATCCTCCCTCATTTTATTAGTTCTATGGAAAAAGTTAATTCGTGATGAAAAATAACTTTTAAAAAATAAAAACCAATCGTTTTAAAGCAAACCATGGATAAAATTTACTCAGGAGTATAATGGTACATAATAATAAAGAATGAATGGATGATTTAAATTTCTTCTAAAGAGTATATATCTGACAAATCCAAACCTGATAGATTTCAATGATGAACATTGTTTATGATTTTAAGAGACAAAATCCAACAAATACAATAAAACTATAAAACAACCTGAAAGATGTATATATGTGGAGGGATAACACAGTATTAAATAATGAATTTTAGAAACTAGCTTACCATCATAATATACTAATCCACCGACTAGTTTATCACGTTTCAATAAAGGAAATCGTTCTAATGCCTGTGATTTATTAAGATAATAACTGGCTTTTAGTATTTGAGCACCAGATATTAAGTCGTACATTTTAATACCAGCCCAATAATACGGAACTTGCCACCATCTACAGAATTGACAATGAAAACGATGAACAATATGGAAACAATGACAACACCAAAAGTGATATTTTAAAATAAACTGCACGGTTAGTATTGAATTCTAGGATCATTGTGAATACCACCAGCTGTGTTGAGTTGATTAACAGAGAATGAAAAGAAACGTGTAGTTCAAATTACAGTGTCTGTGATGGCAATTTTAGTTAGATCTATAACTTATAATAATTGTGAAAATTAAGTTGAACACAGACTTTTCAGTGATCTATCTAGTTTGCTCTAAGCTCAACCAATACGCTCATTGCATACGACTGAAGGTATTGACATCCATCTCAACGAACTGAACCCATGTTTACAAAAGAAGTTTGTACAAAAGTGTTTATTTAATTGGGACTCTTGGTTGTGGGTTCGCATTACCGAGGAGTTCAATGGTGGGATGAAATAGCTGTCAAATACCCTTAGTTTTTTAACGTACCCCAACTGAGATCAATCCGTGATGAATATTATCCAAAATGAACAGCCGTTTCTTCCTTAAATGGGACTTCTCAACAATGTGTACCCACGACCTTGTCATGTCCCAAACTCGATATATTCGAATCTGGAAACGAGTGTGTTACGTCTGGAACCCTGAGTTTGTAATCAATGGTTTAAATCTCCAATTTTAATTAGTCTTAAATGACAAAAATCTATATAAACTTACTTATATATGGGCAACATGATTGGTAATGGATAGGCTAGATGTGGAGCTATATCTATTAGATTAGATCGTTCACTAAGTGCCTCATTAACCATACGAAACTGTTCAATGTCCAAATTAAATATAGCCTTTTGCAGGTATCGAACACCACCATGAATAAGTTTGGTTGAACGAGAGGAGGTACCCGAAGCAAAATCTAATCTTTCAATAAGGCATGTCGATAAACCTTTAAGCAAAAAAAAAAAAAGAACGAAGAGAAAATCAGTGTTTACAAAGCAATAATTGATTGAAGTTGCTTATATGAGGAAAACATGAATATTTATTTATTCATCTAACCATAAATGAGTTGAAAGAATAGTGATTTCCCACTTACTTATGCAAAAAATTCAAATGCATGTATAAAAAAGAATCAAACAGTTTTTCACGATCGATGCAAAGAAAGTGTAAACAAATTTGTGCCAAGCGATAGTCAGGTTTTATTAGAAGGGCTAGGATCTCTTCTGAAGCGATAACCGCTCACACACTTTCTGCCAATTCGATTTTCCTTATGGCCTTTGCTCTCTGATTGGTTATCATGTTTTTTAGTTCGCTAAATTACTACATGCTCGAACGTCATATTCTGCTATTATAGTAAAAATTTTTGTACCAATTTCGTTTGAGTTGCTTGTTCTACCACATATATCAAGTTACCTGCAATTCCTTCTTTTTTCTGTCTTAGCCGTCGAGGTTTCATATGTTGAGCATAATTGACTGATGTCAGTTCCAAAAAGAACCGATCGTATTAAAGGAGCTCAATCATTTTCGTTCATAAATCCATAGCACCGTAATCCGTACTAAGCCCTAACAGCAAGACACAACAATTGGAGATGTGGGAACCGGAAAACCCCCAATGGATTAGCGATTTTTCAGGTGAAGATTTACTTTCATTGTAGTATAATGCCCCAAACCTTCTGCGAAAACATCCGTAACTTGACTCATGATTTTCGTGATATACCACTGTTCTTCATCTTTACTTACAATTCTGTTGCATACGTCTCCCAATGGAATATCTTGAAGTTTGAAACTATCAAACCAGTCTAAACCTAATAAATTTGGGTTATCGTCTGATATGTAACATATTCCACTAATAGTCATATCTTTGCGTGTTACTAAGCATGATTGAACTCCAATAAACTTCAGTTTATCACCTGTTGCGCTCACTACAAACTGACTTGTAAGCTGCAGACTGGGTTTTTCCATTTTAATCCACGTTTTTCTGGAAAGGATGGTTATGTTTGAAGCGGTATCTATTTGTAATCTTATCGAATGACCATTTATCAGAACTTCAATAAACTTCCTGACCGCCCTTTTATGTACCTGATTTACCGTAAATACAGGAAAGGATTTAAAAGGTTTTAATTTGATCTGTACCTTCTTCAGAAATTTGATTTTCGGTAGCTATTCAGCTGCGTACAATAAGTCTCTTTATGTCCAACGGTGTAGCATTTTTTACAGTAATGGTTTTTAAACGGACAGGACTTTACAAAATGCCAAGCGCCATAATGCCAGCATCTGGATGTGGAGACTTTAGGTTTCTCTTGTGATTATTTTCCGTGTAATGATGTGGACGTTGGCGTCTTCGAACCAGGATGAACTTAACTTTGAACTGCTTGAACGTCAAACCTATTTCGACCACCGGACTGAACTAGGTTAGTGTCGTGTTCGAGGTTGGTTAATTGTTGATATTCTTCAGCAACTTCCTTAAGTGATGACGTCGGGTCCTGATCAAGACGATGTACCAGTCGTGTACAAATATCAGTATATTTTTTAGATTGTAAACTACAGATAAGTATTAATGATGTGAACTCGTCCTCATAAAGTTTTTAATTTGAACCGCTCATACTCTCGATTAACTATTCCGACATGGGTGAGAAAATCGTCCTCTTCGTGAAATAGATAAAGCGGAGTTCAGGAATTTAAAGCTAAAATTTAAACCTTCAGAATAACTGGTGAGCGTTGATGTTAAATTATAAGTTCCTTTGCAACAAAGATATGCCACCGTAATACAACTGTGGAATTTTAAATCAAAAGACGTCCTTGATGTAGGATAGGTTTTTATACGATTTCATAGTTTTATATAACTGAAGAATAAGCATTATTCTTGAGATCAATAGGTATCACTCATTATCAAGCAAAAAACGAACTGAATACTATTCAAACGATAGATTTTAAGCATAACTTACTAGACAAAGCCGAAAGTAATTAATTAGTTTCACTAATTCTCTTCCATTATTAGTAGATATGCTTTTCCCTCAACTCACTAATTATATAAGTACTCAAAAGTGTAAGATTATAACATTGTTAGTATTTTGATTGTCCGATATTTCAGCTTCTGTACGTAATCATCTCCAAACACCATTATTTGATATTCCACAGGGAATCCACTGAACTAATCAAATACCACTGTATTAAAAATACAAATAACTAATACTACATCATGAAACTAAACATTTAATGTTAGTGATACACAGGGTTAACCAAAGCATTTAATTAAAACTCGTCATTAAACGGTAATATTGAAACTTGTTTAACGACAAAAACAGGGTCAAATAAACATATTATTGACTGACGATAAAGACCTGTAACGAAATAAAAATGGTGTAATGATTCAATTAGTCACATTTAAAAATCATAAGGCTGAATCGAAAGTACTAACAATAATAATAGGAAACAAGTCACTGAAAAAAAGGGAACGACGAAGTAATATGAAGCCATATAAGAACACAGTAGCATATTTGAAAATTGCTGTATGATAAAACACATTGCATAAATGCTTCTGCTGTCAGCCTTCAGCCACTTTACCCAAATTTTCAAATTATTGATTTCTATTAATTAGAAGACCCCACCCATATTTTTGAAGATTTGGATAGCTAAATTTGAAAGTATTTATTGATGAGACAAATTTAATCAGTCACCTAAACAGTTTAGGAATTAGAAATTATCTTAGTACCTTGAATAAGTAAAGGTGAACCTCTAGACAAAAAATTATGTTTGTTCACGTCAATAAATGTAGTGACAACAATTTGGGTAAATAGTTGAAATTATTTACTTTTCAACCTACCTCTAGATGCAGCATCTAACGCAACGCCAGCACCACTTGCCCCACCACCAATTACTAAGACATCGAAAAGTTCACCCGATGCCATTCGTTTGAGGTGTTCATCTCTAGTTGGCAAGGGTCGCTCAAAACGTTTGAACTCCTGTTCTGAAGGTTTAGGTCTCGACAGTAAAGCCTGTAAGTATAAGATGTAGTGATGAGAATACAGGCTTATTGAATAATGTGACTAATGATTGCTTGATCACATAAAAAAACCAATAGTGAAATATCAGGTAAAAAATTATGATGAAGCATGATCAGCCGCTGAATTGGTTCGTTTGTTTTTTAAAAAACTGTTTTAAGGAAATAAACAGACTATTTCAGGTTATCTACGAGAACAACCAAAAGTTCAGAATGAAAAGGATGTAATACTTATTCTCTTGAAAAGCGTCTGTAAAAAAGTGTGATTCAGCTAATGCCATAATCGATTATCACTGAGGACTGGAGTCTGATTGTTCCCAGAATCGCAAACATTTTCAGCGTTTATGCTATATATATGAATTATAGGTTAGATAGACAGTAATGGCATAGAATATCAGCATAATAAACGACTGCTGCATAAACGTATGATAGAATTATTATGACGAGCCCCGGCTTGTTTCGGTGCCTTAACCGGGTTAGTGGGTTTCGGAAGACCCAACTAGGAGAGTTGGAAAACCTTGATCCCAAACCAATGGTCACATGGGCTCCAGGATTCTGAGCAAGCAAATGGCGTGTGAACCCACTGTTGGTCACCGGCTACCATGAGAATGCATCTCCTTACGTTGCTCCACTTCCCTATAGATTAGACCCCTAGGTTAAAAGTTTGGAGTGGCCTCCTAAAAGGACCACCTACTTTGGTTTGGGCGCCCGGGCAGTATTCCAGCCCTTACACAAATCGAATGACGAAGTGTGGCGCGTATACATTTGGTGCCTCCTCGTACCAATGTTTGTGTTTAAATAAATAAAAATAGATATAGTGATGCGGGTTCCCACTGCACAAGGAGTGCCAGTTACTGAGAATTGCAGGTACATCTTTCTGATGGGTCATTGATGCTAAGTGATTTTCATTCAATTGGCTTCCAGAGCACTTTTATTGAGTCAATTAACCCAGTGCTGCTTTTTGTCAAGCTGCTATTGACTCAGTTTAATATCCAACTGCATTATTTCTGTGATATTTGTTCAGTTTGACAAATTCTTCAACTAGTAATCAATTCAATTAAACTTGTGTATAAATGAACGTATTTGAATAGTTTTTAATGTTCTTAGTTTCTTTCCACAAATCATTTAGAAAGGCTTGTACACCAGTCTATAGTTAGCGAACAAAGAAGAGAATAAGAATCACTCGCCCACTGCTATCGAGCTCGGAGTTAGGAATTACTGCTTTGAAGCAAAAACGAATCATGATCACCAACTAGTAAGAAAATTAGATTAATATCCTACAATCACTTGTCTTCAATCATTTTACTTCGAAACAGTCAGTGCGATATTGAGTCACCTAAAGTTGAATATATATATTATATTGGTACTTCAGACTAAACAAAACATGACATCGGCTACTACTCGATGATCTATACATAAACACATTAAGTTTCCATACTTATGAACACTCAAGCTCGTTTCTAAACAAACACTAACATGTTAGTACAAGCAATGATTTGTTTACTTAGTAATTAATTAATGGTGAATATTAAGCATCACTATTATGACAAGCACTTCACCTTCGTCCTTCTGGCTTCATTAACTCTGGGAACAACTTCCATTAAAAGTGCAGCACCGACGCCAGATATTGCTCCAACCAAAACAAGCCTTTTGCTTATTCTTCGAAAAGCGGACATCTAGGTAAAAAGATTTTTTAAGCGTCTAATACAATACAATGGTATGAAAAAACTCATGAAACTGAGTAATTTCTAATGGATTGAACAAATAATACTGCCAATAATTGATCACTAACTAAGGCCAGAGATGGCACTCTTCTATCCAACTATGCGACAAATCTCCTACATGAAGAACAGACTAAAAATACTGGTCGGAAATACAGAAATAGTTATTGCGTCATAATGCGTCACTGAATCCTTTCGCGTTAAAATTCTCTAACCCTAACCTCTGTTAGTCTACCATTTAAAATTTTACGTCACTCGCATAGTTTAATCTGCCAGTCAAAATCCTTCCTATATCTATATTTAAGTCATTCTTTGCTATTCTAACAAAACCGCTTTTATTAAAGCATTTAGTCGATCGGCTTTACGGCAAGGTCAAATTAATTGAAATATATCGATGGATTTGGATTAGCTTCAATGAACGTGACCTGCAGTTCCTTTTGATTGCTAGTAAATCATTTCACCACATCCAAAACATACGGTCCTACTCATAGACGCTACATTTCGCTAAACATGCCCTGATTGGTAAATAACACAAATTCACCTAGCCTTCATCTCGGCTTCTTTGTTTGAAGAATAGCGAAAATGTTTTGGAAAGACAAAAATAAAATAAACTTCTAACATCAAGTTACGCAAAAACATATATATTGATTACAAATCACAAATATTTCTGCAAAGGGCTACAAAATACTTGCATGAGGCGCTAAAGCGACCGTTCGTTCAAGACGTAATAACTATTTCCCAACAAATGAAAATTTTAAAATAAAACTATGACATGACAACTTGGACCATATAATAAGCAAGTTCTATAACAATGCAATAATGCGTTGTTACATATAATCACGATTATACCCAGCAGCCGAGTGCCTTCACTTCACTTATTTTGGAACATTTCAATGAGTTGGTATGGATATCACTGTAAGTGAGACTGATGGTGCGATTACCCAGTTTTCTAGAACTAATACTTAATATATATATCTCTTCCCTCGAAATAAACGTCCAACATAGATAAAAAGGGTTCTCGAAAACCCGCAAGGATGTAAAACTCCGGAGATCCACAAAAATATAGAATGGAATATAATGAAATCAGAATTCTCATACACGTTCGAGAAAAATATAGACAACCAATTTAACCTTCCGCTAAAACGAATTTTGATTCTACCGCCCCAAAGAGTTCAATTAACGGAGTAGGGAAAAAAACTTAATTTTCAAAAAAGCGGAGGATGCATTTCAGTATTGATCACAAATTATTTCTTAAAAAGACTATACCATACTTCAGGGGCGAACTGCAATGGTTTCTTAATAACACTTAAGTATTCATAAGCTGTTTGTGAATAATAGTAATAATATCTTAAATAAGCTAGATAATTCCTGTAGGTGCATGGGTGACACACTAATCGTGTGTGAAAAAAGCATAGTTAGATGAAAGTCTTTAAACTGTTTCGATAACGGTCACCCAGCTATTAAATTTACCAACGAACAGGTAAATGACAATAGCCTTTCATGTTGTCATATTTTCTTGAACGATAGACAGTTCGGAGCAGCTAGTGAATAAAAGGCTTGGTGGTGAACACAAACACGTAAGAGTATTCGGACACTGGACAAACATTCGAATGTGAACCATAGTTAAACATATCAGGAGAGTCTACTTCAGTTGATTGATGGGCAAATAAGGACAGAATTATGGAAGTCAGATTGTTTAGGAATGGCCGTGGTTACGTCCGGTGTTGCCAGTCATTGTGCTTGTTCACAGAACTAATAGCCAGCAGTCAAGAAAATTTATTGTTTCCTTTGTTCCTGCTTTCAGTTAGTTAAGAAAAAGAAACCGGTAGATACATTTTGTATACAACATTATAAGGAGTGCTATGAGAGGTTTCAGCATCTGTTTGTGTATGATCAGATTTAAGTAAAGGGCTGCGGCCATCATATATAAATCTATTTTTATCAACATCCAGTGATGGATCCGACGACACAGCCCATTCGTATAAATTGTTTGTCTTCTCAGAACACCGCTGGTGGAAGTGGCGAATGAATAAACCACTTTTAGGTCATCATCAAAAAAGAAAAATTTACCGTACTGAAAGAGTGAGCACCTGTCATTGGCAAAAAGGAGAGTGAGTTGTAGTGACCTATTTTTGTCAACAGAACGCGATTGGTTTAATTGAAACAATCATTATTATAACCAGTTTTACCAGTGATCGTTTTACTGTGCTTGTTTGTTTAACTGCACTAAAGACAGCCATTATTCTCCTCCCGCTGCCTTTGATCTTTTAATCTGGCATGATCTCGGTATTCTTTCGATCCTACGAGATCGTCATCAAATATATCTCGACTACAGCCATCTGCCTTCTGATATTGACCTTAAGGGATCTTATTGGTTAACTGGCACGTAGTCTTCTTGTAGTGGTGTTCATAGTCAGCCGTGACTCGATGCCACATTAAAGAGTAATGGGCCAATCACACTTTCTTGTGTAACATCAACGGTCATATTCACAGGCTCAGAGTAGCAAGATCCAAAGCGGAGTATTCGGCTACGTTCTTTTAAAAATGTTTTAAACCAGGATTAAAGGGGATTCCGTGTGCCGAATGAAGAAACTTTTAGAAGATTATGTGAAACACTGTCGAAGGCCTTACTAAAATCGCCGTACAGAAGTATCACTGATGGATCAACATCTGGGTATTTTGATCGAAAAATTCCAAGTGCAATGTGAGGCATGAGAAATTAGTCATAAATCCATGTTAGAATGGGTTAATCAGGCTAACTGAAAGTAAAAATAATAATAGCTATTTATGGATCGTTTTTACCATGGCTCTTGATAGCATGGATGTCAAGTTAAGGACCTATAATTAACAATAACACTACGTGATCCTGCTTTGAATCTAGGGGTGATAAGCGATGTTTTCCATACATATGCATAGTGTCCGCAATCCAAAGACAAGTTCAACAGTTGTAAATAGAATACTAGAAATCTTGTAGTACCATATTTTACAAATTATACAGGAATCACATCAGCTTCATCGTCATAGGGCTTTTTCAGAGTAGTTATAGCCTGGTTGATGTACATGCATGCAAAATCTGTTTTTGATATATGTCTTTATGTCACCAACGGAAAGGCATTGATAAAGGTTTCGGTTTCAGTACTGCAGCATTGCGGAAAATGCTGGTTGTGTTGTTCACAAATAGTATCAGAATCCTTAGCGAAGCTTCTGTTAATTGTGAAGAATTTGGTAGTGCCAAGCGAACTCGATTTCACAAGGGACTTAAAAAGTCAAGGTGGAATTATAGTCTTAATCGTTATTAGTATTACCACGAAGACGGACACAATCATAAAACTGCAGACCTGTCATGATGTGACTTTACAGCCTATGAGATCTTACGTGAAAGCCACATCACTGTGTATTCTAGAGTTTCCAAAGGATAGATTTGGGTTAAAGGTAGAATAATGTATTTGAAGTGAGTGAAAACAGGTTATACAGAGTAACCATGTAGTGGCATTGTACCCTAACCACACAATCCTCAAAGCTGAATACAACTGGGAACATAGACATTCAACATTAAAAGCAGCAAAAAACCCAACACGTAGTGTTGTGATTAATTCCGGGGTTATTGATGATGTTGATCTTCTTGCCAATCAGTTGATTCAAACAATACAAAGAGTCTAGATCATTATACAGCTGTCACTATATGAATTATCCAGAATGACCTTATGGTTGAAGAAAATTTATAGTTTAAACTCACCGTATGTTTCTGAAGTATCGTCCTCCTTGTTTGACAATGGAACTCGAAATGTGGAAACTAGGCAGGCAGTCATCGGAAGAAGAAATATTACAGGATAGTCAACAATTTAAAACAGAGGGAAACCTTAATCAAGGGAGTGATATGAAGAGCTAGGTCCAGATAACCATTTAGTCTTTGCTGACGTTGCTAGCCAATGTCTATTTATGTCATTTAAAGACCATGCTTGCTACAGCTTGTTGTTTTAGCAAGTTTGTTTCACTGAGGCATGTAAATGCTATTAAAGCTTGTCAAGGAACCATCGTAACTCATAGTTAATAAACGTTGAATATTTATTCTCCCAGTTATCTCGTGTTCAGCTATGAGGATTGTGTGGTTAGGGCCCAATGCCACTACACAGTCATTACTATCGATTGAGCTAGCAAGTTATGAGTACTAATCAATATTACAATACGATAATACACCTGTGTTGATCAAAGGGCTAATAGAACAGTAGGTTAACATAGGTAAAAATCGATCGAGAAAGTTAAAGTGAAAATGTAAATTAACAATAGTTTGAGTTTCTTTGATCGGGATTATCAATATAGAATTGTGGTATAAGTCCTCTATTAATACTGCTCTAATAATAGACCAAATCCTAAAATTGTAGATTTATAGTGGTGTGACTACCTAACATATAAGATCATACTTGAAAGTGACATGATTGTCGATTCTGAACCATTGTACGTAACAATCAGGAATATAATGTCTGGAGTTTCTAAAGAACACATTTGGGTTAAAGACAGAATGGTATATTTATTGTGGCTAAAGAAAAGTTCTACAGAATGAACACGTCTGCGAAGCTGAGTTATGCCGTCCGATTGAACTAATGAAATTTTCCCTCCTTCTCCATTGTTAACCTTCTCCTCTTGTCAATTGTTGGATATAAATCTTTCCAGTAATTATATGCTCGGGTTCAAAAGTCGTGTAGTTAGGATCCAACGCCACTACAATAACATGGTCTTGCCTTTCATATTCATATCTTGTATTGTGTTTGACAGCAAATTACAGGTCTTGTTAGTAAAATCTAACAACCATATATTAAATACACAATTTGCAAAATGTCTAGCAATTGTCTCAAATGACTCAGACTTCCCTTGTTCTTACATTTTCATAAAAATCGCATTCTGTTTTCATTGTTTACTGTTCGATCTTTTTGTCTCTCTGCTGCCAGACATTCCGTTCACGACTAACACCATATACTACTTATGTCTACATAAGTAGCACACACCGCAACAGTACTGTCCAACAAAATGCTATGGAGGTATTTTCAGCGTTTTCTTCCCGTTACACTCTGAGATTCAAGAGCAAAGGAGCAGATGAGCGGAACACTTCTAGGAACTCATTAACAGGCCTGACCTTCCTATACATAACACGCCACCAACTATCGAAGAAATCAATTGTGATCATCAGACAAACAGCGGGACCTGATAATATATCAGCTGAAGCCAGGGAGTCAGACACAGAAGCGACTGAAAGCATGCTACATGTTCTATTCAGGAAGATTTGGAAAGAGGAATAAGTGCCACTGACAGACTGAAAATAAGGATGCCTCATCGAGATACCAAAGATAGGAGATCTGAGCAAATATGAAAAATACACAGATATCACACTTCCGTTGGCAGCAGAAACAGTTCTCAAGACATTATTGCTCAGCAGGATGAAAGACTGATTAGATGCCCAACATCGAGATCAACAGCCTAGATTCCGTAAGGATCGGTTGTGCATAGACCACATTGTGTAACTACGGATCATCGTTGAACTTTCAGTTGAACGGAATTCGTCACTCTACATCAACTTCTTTTATTGTGAGAAAGCATTTGACTCTGTGGGTATGGATAACCTCATGGAACCCTCTTCAATACTATGGTGTTGTAGGGAGATTAGTAACATCATCTGAAATCCATACGACGAACAACAGTGCAAAATAGTGCATGTAGGACGGCTGACAGATGCTTTCAAAGTAAGGACCTATGTCAGACAAAGCCGTTTATTCCCTACTCCTTATTTTTTCTTGTAGTGGTTAAGGGGGTTATCGAGACCTTCACATCTCAGGTAAGTCAAGGAATGAAACAGATGGCTTGCATGCAACCAGACGATTTGGACATCGCAGATGAATAGGTCCTTCTATCCTATACACACCAAAAAATGCAAGCCAAGACAAATAATGTAGCTGCATTCTGTGTATCAGTAAGCCCCAACATGCACAAGAGGAAAAGAATAAAACCTCATATGCAACACAGAGAACATCAACCAACCTGATCACACTTGATGGAGAAACTGCAACAAATGAAAACTTTCACATACCTGTCCAAACGACATTACCGATGAACAAGGAGGATCAAATGCAGACGTAAAGGCGAGAATTAGCA